TTTAAAAAAAAAAAAAAAAAAGATAGTTAGGAACATCCTAAGCTATGGCTTTTGAACATCTCTTTCCTATGACCTTGTCCGTAACTAAGCTAAAATAAGCTCGGCTTGATCAAAGAAGCCAATTCCCCAGACCACCTTCTGTATTCCTGGAGATAACCTGGACATTGATCCAGAGCAGCCAGTGGGGTAGATTTAAATCACTCCTTTTTTTTTCTTTTTTGTCTCAGAGCGGGTCATCTTTTCCATTTTCCCTAGGAGCTCATGAAGTTACATACATTCCCTCTGCAACTCTTTAGGAATATGGCAACTGGTCTACCCCTTGCCCCATCACCCCAAACACTAAGGGCAAAGATGGCCTTAAGGCCTGGGTACCAGAGTGTCCAGGATGCTAGTCAGTGGCAGGTAATGGCGAGACGTATCCAACAACAAGCCCCGGTGAGAGAAGCGGGGAAAGTCTTCAATCTCGGTCTTGTTGATAAAGAACTGTGTGGACCAAACATTGAACATATCAAGATTCAAAGGGAACTCACCATGGGGGTGGAGGGGAATGAGGAAAAGTCTCCTGATCCTTCAAAAGCCAATCTATGACTGTTCTGCAGAGCAACTATCTCCCCAAATGCCCCACATCTCAACTTAGGCGACCATAAGCAGGCTCCTGTCAGAGGGTAATGGTCCCATGCTAGCCAGATATAACTGTCCCACACACTACTCAGCCTACACATTCTGGATTTTCACTGTTAATCTGTTTATTTTCTTCAAAGCAGTGTGGTCTCAAGGTCATTACTAAATAATGACTCAGGGGAACTAAATTACAGTGATTACAAACAGGCCAAATCTACCAAACCGGTTTCCACTCATGTCTCCTTCTAACTCTTGTTGGGGCCATCATGAGCCACCAGGACTCTGTCTAAGACAAAGTAAGTTATTCCCAGGATTCTCAACATTCGGAGCAAATCCCCAGAGGTATAAAAGGAACCCTTTCAGAGGACCCCCACTCACCGTGCCCTCAGGAGATCGCCAAACAAGCTGGCTAAAAGTCTCCAGACCTATGGGGAAGTAGAGACAGTAAAGGCTTAGGGATGTGGGAAAAGAGATGCACCCATTTGGAAGGTTCCCAACGTGACAGAGGAGAATGCCTGGGCACATGGTAAAAGTGGATATAGTATGGGCTTGATGAGTCTCAACACAGATGCAAAGGGGATACTAGGAAGCCAGCATCTGTTTTTACTCTGCATTTTATTTTGGGAGGTGGCAGTGTAAGGGACTTTAGTGCCTCTCCTAGGAACACACTAACCCTCAAAATCCACATACCTCTTATCCATATTTCCTAAGCCTTGAACTCACAAGAGTATTAAGACAGGCCAAGATGTCTGCTTATGAGTACAGAGGCAGGGACAAACCAGCTCACATGGATTAAGGCTTTCCAAATTAATACTGATCAGGAGCTAAGGGAACTGAGAAAAAGGGGTCCTCAATCTACTGCCCCTTCTATGATCCAAGACTGAATTGTGAAAAAGTAGTTATAAGCTGAAGTTTCCAAGGAGCTTGGGTCCACAGCTGGACCGCAAAGACAAAGAATCATCTACCTTTCCTCTTGAGAAGGGAACTAGCTATAGAGAGCTGAGATATGGTAGGCAGCAACAGCCCTAGAAGGACTGCCCCAGTCCACTGGACACAAACTCCTAGATTCTAGCAAGGCCCAAGGGCAGGCAGGCTGAGTCCAGAGTGTTGTATGTTCTCGACAACTGGAGCCCCTCTTCTGAAAACGCAGCAGAAGGATTTCCAGAGTCCCAAAATTTCAGCATGAAAGAATCTGAGGTCTTAGCGGTCACTTGGCACCTACTTCGAGGCAGACTGCTCTTACACTGCTTTGGCTTCTTTCTATTTTGATTCTGACACCCAGAATTCTGGAGTCCCAGATTTCCCCCTGCCCCAACCTGACTAATCACAGCACCTGCACAAAAGGTATAGAGAGAGCAGAGAAGGGAGTCAGCTCCCTGTTTCTCCCAAACACAGGAGAGGAGGAGAGGAGGGGTAAGGGAACAAAGATGAACCAAAACAAGGTCTGAAATTCTGTGAGAATTTCCCTCCTCATTCACCAGCAGGGGCTTTGCAAAAGTAGCAGAGGTATTTGGCTAAGTCTATATCTAAGGACCAAATACCTTTTCAGTAAAGCAAGAGGAAGGGCAGAGGCCCATCACATGTTAGCTAGTAAAGTTCCAATTTTCTCCTGAAATACTATAGTTCTACATGACTTATACTATTTACTTCTTTTTGACATTTATCTATTTCTTGTGATCAAGTTTTCCTTTTTAAAGAACCTTTCCAATTACGTGTGTTTTGTGAGAGCTGAACAGGCAGTGTTTGTGGCAGAGTCCCAAGCAGCCTGTTCCCTGCTGGCACCCGCAACGTCAGCCTGCAGGGTCTCTCACTGCTTCCCCAGAGCACCTGCCCAGGAGAGCTGCTGCCACCACCACACGGGCTGACACCTGCCAACTTCCAGAGACAGCTGTAAGGAGAACACGCCCTTCAGGGAGATGGGGAAACACTCCAATCGGTCTCCATAAAGAAAGCTTCCTACACTGAGGATACGTGCTGGACCCCCAGTCTTGTCCTCCCAACCCACCAATGCCAACCTTCCCACTTCATCCCTCTCTTTCTCTCCCAGCATCAGTCCCCATGTTACCTCGGAGAGCTCCCCAGACAGTCTCAGAGAGGAGGAAACAATGATCATCATTTATGGTCAGGGTGTCTGAAACGACAGGAGTGACTCCATTGGTTAAGGACTTCTACTCTCAGATTACAGATCACACGTCCTGTGTAAATCCTTGGATTACAAAACAACAGTAAGATCACATTTTTTTTTTTTTCCTTTCAAAGAGGAGACATCCCCAGAGCAGAGCAGCTGCAGGTCAGCTAGGCTTGGGTCAGAGTGGGAGGGTGGTCTCCCAGAGGCTCTGTGGGCCCTAGAAGATAATGCACAAGGAGGGTCAGGCTAGAGAAGAAAAGTACCACCTGCCTTGTGGTTCAGTCTACCCCTCCAGAAACGTGAGTTCCTGCCAGCCCTTAGCTGAAAGTATGAGGCGGACAGGGATGCTTGGAGGATGTGTCCAGGTTACAGTGTTTCCAAAGCCTTTGTAATCACCCTCCTTTCCCTTTGTCTCCAGGCTTCATTTAGCTACTTCATCCAAGAATGTGAGGAGGAAGCCAAGACTTGAATGTTCATTTTGGAGATTGAGAAGTTCCCCGATACTGCTGCTTAGGGAAGACAGGAGGCATCACAGGACTCATGAATTGACTTTATTCAGTCATTATATCCAAAAACATTATGACCAAAAACTCCTTCTCTCCCCAGAGTGGGGTCTCTTAAAGAAAATCAGCAAAGTGTACAAACTCCTAAAACGGCAACAGAATTATATGCAGTCCAGAAGGCAAGTGTCCTGTGGGACTCCGTGAAAAGCCACTGTGACGTTCCACAGCCAACCTTCAGACACTGGTTAGAGTGCGTATGAAAAATCCACCTTCTGTGGCTCTCAGCCCTTGATGACCCGGGGTCTCCACAGTCCTGGAGGGCTGTAGGCCTAGCATCAGGAACTTAGGTCAGACCAACCAGAGTTACAGCCCCAGACAAGTGCTTGCTCTCTACAACAGGGGACAGGGTGGTACTTACAGTTTTCCACCGACTCCAAAGAAGGAAGCTGGTTACATCCAGGAGTGACCACAAGGATAACCAATGAATTCTTCTCCGGTGCATGCTGTTTTCCTGAAAGGACAGAGTAAACTCAGTGTGGCTGACCTGCCACCAGAAGCAACAGGCAAAATCAAGGTCCTACAGGAAGGTCCCTAGCTCTAGTCCCTTCTGCTTGCATGTGTGTGGGAAGAGGCAAGGGAGGAGAGGGCATTTACCCTTGGCACAGGCATGCCTCATCACCTGCTCAACTTTCTCATTTTGGTTGTGTTGCCCTCTCTCCCCAGTAACCTGCCCTGACCCACGTATCAATGATCTGGCAGCAGTTCTTTGTAACCAGGGCTCTATACTTCTAGTTTGGTACAGTAAGCACGATTCCAATACTTTGAGAACTGCTTTTAAACTAGAGGCAGCTTGAGGGCATTTTTACTCAAACAAAGCGTGGTCTGCAGATTAGCTGCTGACTTGCAAACTGCAATACTGGTTGAAAGGAAAGGTACTGATAGATAGGAAGCTTATACAATGCCAGAATGTAAATCAATTATGTCAGAATAAACACACTGTTTAGTCCTAACATTTTTCATAACACATTTTTTTGATGAAGGGAATAGTTTCACATTCCGGTGTGTGTACCTCTCCTCTCAGTGCAGACTCTCGCTTGAAGGAGCACTGTTCTGGAGGGCTCCAGGTAAAAGGTTTCCAGCTTTGTAAAAGCCCAGGAGCTGATGCAAGCAGATGAAGCAGATGACCAGAGGAGCTCCTACGCAAAGGAGGCCTGAGATCATCGAGCTGGTACCCCAGCAAAGGTACATGGTTACCAGCCCATCCTGCTTCCTTCCCTCTTCCCAAACAGGCTCTCTGTCTGAGGCAGTCTTCTGCCCAACAGTGGAAAGCCACCAAGTATGAGCCAACATCTAGCATAGTTCTTCAGATGTACCCCACCCCCCCAAAAAAATACAGAGCCAAAGCCAAAATACTAATGCATCATCCCTTCCCATCCACCTAATGGTTCTTTGTGACCTTCAAGGTGGTTCTGATTGTACTGCCCCAAGCCTGACCTCAATGAGATCCTTCTTTCTATTCTTTTCTGGAACCACATGCATCCACACTGGCACAACAACCATGACTTCCTATGGAACCACAAAGTCAGGGATAGGATGGCCTGGGAAAAGGCAGGGAGAGAGAATTCAGAACCAAACTGGATCCCAAATGTTATCCATCTCTAGGGCAGAAGTAACCCAAGAGCCTTGAGCCATTTCCAGAAAGCCTGCTCAAACTTCCTGAGCACTACCACATGGCCGCATCTCAACTCTCGGGCTTGCCAAGAAGCAAGCAATAAGGCGCCCTTTTCTATCATCAAGAACAAAATGTATTCTTTCCCCTCCTTGAAAATATCCTGCATTCCACACTAATACCTAATACTCTGGGCCAGGCCAACTCACAACTCCATTCTAAACCCTGAAAACTCATCTCCAACAACAGAGAACAAACAGACTGTCAGGGCAGAGACTACCCTCAAAGCAGAATCTGTAGGGCCCTCCCAAGCTCCCCAAGCAGACAGGCCATCTCTACAAACCCCCAAGACCAAGGAGGACTTAACTGAGAGGTAGGAGCGAAGAAAACTATAAAAGAATATTCTTCCTTAAACTATGCCCTCATCCCTTGCTACCTTGCCCCCACTCCAATCCCATACATCACAGAGCCCTAATATCAATATGTGGAGAGCTCATCTGCATACTACCCAGATGGCCATCCAAAAGAGGGCAAAGTCCTGAGCTTTAGTGTTAATTCCCTGGACCTCAGCCTATGAAACTGAGGAGAAATCACAACTATCCTTGTGCAACTGCCACAGTCACGGTCCTAATGACATTTAGAGGCTGCACAAACACCAGGTTTATCTGAACTATTGCCTGGAACATTAAAAAAAACTCTAACTTCTGTTGTTGCTAATATTTTTTTTCCTAAAACACACCTGCACTCTGTCCTCTAAATCCAGAGTCTTTTCAGGGGGAGGGTTGTAGACTCCTTACAAGATCTGATGAAAATAAAAATGAAAGGACTTTTTCCCCTAGAACAATGGCCCTTACTAAGGGCTCATCCCTCCACCCCCTGCCTCTAATCTTATGGTGAAGAATCCCTGTCCTAAGCATTCTCAGTGACTCATTTGGGTTTGGGCTGATAAAGGAGGTAGAGTCATGGCTGCTATTTAAACAAGCCATGAGGGGGAAGGTCTGGGGGAGGTGGCAATGTGAGAACTGGCAAAACAGGAGGGGCACTGGGTCATTTAAAAGGATGTAAATAGCGTAGCATCATTGTGGTTTTCTGCCTCCAAGCTGCTACCTTGAAGCAAGCAGGAAATAGGCAGGGGACAGGCCAGCTTCCTCCACACGCACCCACATGCTCTGCACTGGGAAGAACTGAGGTGTAGGAAGCATGGCATGGCACACTCACAATGAGCCCGCTGGCACAACAGGAAATTCTGAAGCCTCAAGTGCTCAGGAAGAAGCATGGCAAACAGAGCACTGAGTTGGGAAATCAGGAAAGATTGGTTCTGGTTCTCCTGCTGCTAAGCTGAGCGAGTCTTGGGACTCCTATTTTCTCCCCTGCAAACAATGGCAAGATAGGACCGCATTCCGGCTACTCCTCCAAAGAGGTAATACTTGGTGACTCCACAGATAGTATGCTCCAAGGTCCCAGTCCATGACCATTACTTCCTATCTCTATTGCTTCCCCATTCCCCTGCTTTCATGTACACCTGCTCTTTTCCTCTGGTTCACTGAAAAGTTTGCACCTTCTAAATTTAGGAAGGGGAAATCATTCAAACAGTACAGAAGTCTTTACAACAAAAAAGCTAGTTACCTTTGGCACCCCTCCCCTTTCAGCATCATTTAGCCTACACAGACAGGTCAGCTCTGGACATGGAACTCTTGAGACACTTTTTCTACCACAGTCCTGCTGTTGAACTTTCTCCAGATGCCAGTGCTATGACCCTTCCATTACTCTTCTGTTCCCAGTTCTCTCCCATCTTCACTTCCCTCCCTGCTGGCCTAAGTGTGCTGATCCATCACCTCAAACACAACCTAGCCAGGGCTCTCAGCAACCTGTCCTTTTCTTTTGCTGCACCCAGTGGATCAATTAACATCTGCCTTCTGTGCACCTACCCTGGCTACTGCATCCTACTGGAAGGAAGAGAGAAAATCATGTAACAGCAGGATTGGGCTGCTGTAAAATCATGGTCTCTCATCTTGGCTGGGCCCTTGATGCTGCTGCCCTGAACATCTCCCGTCTCCACCATTGCTTTCTTCTATTCTCCGCAAGAGCTATTTCAAATTTGAGCCACTTTCTTCAAGTCTGTAACTCGATCACCACCACCCTTACTCTCAGTAGACAATCAAAAGAGCACACCCATCCATCTCTACTTCCCCTCTCCTCCCTGACAAAAACACCTGCAACATACGCCTGGTTTTTATCTTTGCCTCCTATCCTGGTGGAAGGGGTTTCCTTTCACCTGTGCTCTGGATCTCTCCTCAGCCTCCTTTTGTATAAATGATTTCCCTTTTCCCCCAAATCTTCCAATTATTTCTTTCTACTAATCCTTTCCCATTAGCATTCAAATATTTGCAAGTCTTCCTGGTTTCAACTCCATGTCATCTCCCAACAGATTCTTTCTTTTGTCTTCTGGTCCCAAAGAAACTCCAGAGAAAATGCAGCCTAAGCAGTTAGGTGCTGAACTTCAAAGCCATACAGACCTGGGTTCAAATCTTAGTTCCGACACTTTCTAGCTGTGGGACCCTGGGCAAGTTATTTTCCCTCTGTGCTGCAGTCTCCTAACCCAAAAAATGGGGATCGTGATTGGTAACTACCTCACTGGGCTGTTGGGAAGATTAAATGAGTCAGTGCATGTAAAGGGCTTAGTGCCCAGACACAGGTGCTCATGGAGTTGGCCAACCTTAGTCCTCTCTTGGTAGCCACTTCTGACATCCTTATCTACTCCTTAGTCCACTATAACATGGCTTCCTTTTCCTCCACTCCTCTGCAAATGCCTTCACCAAGGTCCTCTGGTTCTACAACTACATTCAAGGGACCCTTTTCAATTCATTCTTCATTCATTCATTCAACAGTTATTTACTGAGTGCTTACTATGTGCCAGGCTGTTCTAATTGCTGGGGACACAGAGTGTCCAGACACGGTGATCAAAACAGACAAAAATCCCTGCTGTCCCAGAGGTAATATTTTGGTGGCCACTCACTTCTTCGGGGACCTCCTGGCAGCATCAGACATCCCTAATGTTCATGAAACTAAACACCCTTAGCTTAGGGGACACGTCTCTCTCTTGGTTTTCCTTCAAGCTCCTTGAATATGCTTCCTCATTCTCCCCTTCCTTCGCCAGCCCCTACATGTTTTTGTTCCCCAAAGTCTCTAGGCTTCTCTTTTTCTCTTCACTTACACTCTACTTGGACAATGTCATCCACCCCACAGTTGGTTGATGATTCACAAATCTACCTTTCCATGCCAACTTTTTTTCTGGGACTCTAGACTCATAGGCCTACACTCAAATAGCTTAAAAGCCCTTCAAATCTTAAATACTAAGTTGAACTAACTCTTCATTCCTGGCTGATCTTAAATACTAAGTTGAACTAACTCTTCATTCCTGGCTGATCTTCTCTCTCAGTTTGATAACAGTACCATCTATTGATTTATCCAGACCAGAAACCTCTTCCTTCTCTCATCTTTCTGAGTAGATTAAAAATTCATGCCCCCATAATATTTACCGATGGCCTACTATGTGTCAAACACTGTGCTAAGCACTGAGATTACAACACTAAAAAAGAAAGACCCAACCAAGTAAGTCTAGTTATAACAAAATCCTTATCTCAACATCTTTACCACCCTCCCACCCTCACGGAGTCAATGCCTTAATTCAGCCTCTGGTAAATTCCCACCTGAATGACTGAAAAAAATCCCCCAGTTGTTCTGCCTCCATATATACCCCATTTCAATCTACCATCCTCTGTGAGCTGTTAATATGAAGATCTTTTCTCTGCTCCTGTGCAGGAATTCTCACGGTAACACAA